GGGTCTCGAACCCATGGGCTCAGGCAATCCACTCACCTCAGTCTCCCAAGGCGTGGGATTACAGGCTGAGCCACCAAGCCCAGCTGGTTTTGCTGTTTTAAAGTAAACAGACTTCCTCTAGTACACAAATTAAAAAGCAAAGCATAGAAGACAAATGGTTATAAAGAATACTCTACACTTGCAAAGCAATTGAGTCTAGACTTATATGCTCTACTGCCAAAACATGTGCACCAAATTACAATTAAAGTCATACAGGCACATTGGCTGAAGCCAGTGGCTCAAGTCTGTAATCCCAGCACTTTGGGAGGCTGAGGTGAGAGGATTGCCTGAGCTCAGGGGTTCAGGACCAGTCTGGGCAACTTGGTGAGACCTCATCTCTACAATAAATAAAAAAATAAGCCAAGCTAGGCTCGGTGGCTCAACCTGTAATCCCGCACCTTTGGGAGGCTGAGGTGAGTGGATAGCCTGAGCCCGCGGGTTCGAGACCTGCTTGGGCAACTTAGCGAGACCTCATCTCTACAATAAATCAAAAAATCAGCCAGGTGTGGTAGCGCATGCCTGTAATTCCAGTTACTCGGAAGGCTGAGGTGGAAGGATCGCCAGAGCCCAGCAGGTCGAGGCTGCAGTGGCCGAGAGCGGCCACTGCACTCCAGTCTAGGCAACAGAGTGAGACTCCAACTCAAAAATAAATAAATAAATAAGCCAAAGCTGGGTTCGGTGGCTCAGCCTGTAATCCCGCGCTTTGGGAGGCTGAGGTGAGTGGATTGCCTGAGCCCGTGGGTTCGAGACCCACCTGGGCAACTTGGCAAGACTTCATCACTACAATAAATCAAAAAATCAGCCGGGCGTGGTAGCACATGCCTGTAATTCCGGCTACTCGGAAGGCTGAGGCAGAAGGAACCCCTGAGCCCAGCAGGTAAAGGCTGCAGTAGCTGTGAATGTGGCACTGCACTCCAGCCTGGGCAACAGAGTGAGACTCCAATTAAAAAAAAAAAAGTCATACAGGCATATTTATATGATCTGGATGGGATCGAGGTTTTAATGTGTGCTAATTAAAGTGAAATGAGGCTGAGCATGGTGACTCATGCCTGTAATTCCAGCACTTTGGGAGGCCAAGATGGGAGCATCACTTGAGCCTAGGAGTTTGAGACCAGCCTGACCAACACAGCAAGACCTTGTCTCTACAAACAATAATAAAACAAAAAATTAGCCAGGTGTGGTGGTGCACAGCTACTTGGGAGGTTGAGGTGGAAGGACTGCCTGAGCCCAGGAGGTGGACATTGCTGTGAGCCATGATCATGCCACAGCACTCCAGCCTGGGCAACCGAGTGAAACTCTAACTCCAAAATAAAGTTAGATGAAAGAGAAGAAAGCAAGCAGCACATTTGTAAAGAGAAAGTCAACCTACAGAGAGTGAAGAGCCTAAGACTTAATTTTCAAGTAAATGTTTATCTAATTATATTACATTTTATGGACCTTTCTACTAACAAATATACAATATACATTCACATAGCATATAAGAGGACCCCAGACTACAATTCCCATCTCACAGAATGAGTAATTTAGTGACTTACCTGTGGGTCTTGAGGAAGTCACTTGAATTGCAGAATACTGAATTTTCCTGAAAAAAACTTTAGACTGTTTGGTGACGTTTCTGGGCTTTCGTGATTCTTTGTTGCCTTAAAAAGAAAGCTTATAATTACCCTCTTTTATTTCTCCTGAAACAACTTTTCAACTCTCCTGAGACAAGAAAAACCAATAGTTGAAGCTACCTGGCAAGCCTGTCATTTTTCCAACTGGATGGAACCCATCTGCATAAGGCAAGCACAAATGAAGCGGGAATTCCATTAAGAACAAAAATAAAAATACAAAAGAACCTTGAACCTTGTCCATCACTCTAAAATTGTCCGTCTTTATCCTACGGTGAAAGGGAATATTTAGCTGTAGTCCAGCATCTGCCCTATGTGTATCTGAAGAACCAAGCAGCTCTGCTCCCCACAGAATGTTTGAGTCATGACTTGGAGTGTGAGGTCAGCCCTTGTTGCCACAATGGAGTTCCTTCCTGGAACCAGACAAGCCAATGGGGATACCAACAGCAGAAGAGGGGTCTGGCTACTGTGAGGTACTGCCTGCAGGGGCAGACCTAAATGAGACTGGGGCCCTGCCTTCACAGAGATTTCTTTCTTACTGAGGAGGCAGAAAGAAATCGTTTATAATTGGGTGTCTGTACCCATGGGCTTGGGCTCCCGATCCGTAAATTTAATAAACCTTGAGTGAAAAATATCTGAACAAAAATTTTGTCTGTACTCAAGATGTAGACACTTTTTTCTTTTCGTTATTCCTTAAACAATACAGTATAACTAATAAGGTAGCATTTACATTGTATTAGGCATTATAAGTAATCTAGAGATGATTTTGCATATGTGGGAGGATCCACATAGGTTATATACAAATACTATGCCACTTTATATCAGGGACTTGAGCAACCATAGATTTTGGTATCCGTGGGAGGTCCTGGAACCAATCCCCAATGGATACCCATGGACGACTACAGTCAGTGTGAGACATCATAAAAAGCCAACAGAGAAAGTAGCAGAGTTAAATTAGGAGGATAAGAGTAAAAATGTCTAGATTCCAATTCTCCCCTTTGGCTTCCTAGATGTTTGAGCTCAGTCAAGTTACTTAACTTCTCTGAGCTTCAGTTTTCTCATCTGTGAAATGAGAGGGAAAAAAAAAAAGAAATGAGAGAAAAATTTGTACCTACCTCACAGGGCTATCATGATGGTTAGATAACCTATACAAAGCAAAAAAACAAAACAAAAAACAGAATAGGCAACTGAACAAATGTTATAATATGGAATTATGTCAATATCTGCAGTAAAGCAACTCAGTGACTCAGTATCTCTCAATCCTCTGGGGACTTTTGAAACCTAGACCCATACAGCTTTCTCCAAAAGTTTCTTTTTTTTTTTAACATTTTGTTTAGAAGTCTATTTTTATAATATATTAGAGATTATATCCTTTGCAACTATTTAAGCTGTGATGATGATACGGATTTTTCAGGTTAGCCTGGACTTCAAGAGTGTCAGGTCAATGGGTAGGCACTAGAGAGGGTCATCAAGGGGTGGTAAGTCTAGACCTGGATGTGTCAGCTCTAATAGCCTGGCAAGCCAAGCCCTGAGAATGTTTCTAATTCAGTGGGCTGGCAAGCCTAGCCCCCCGTGTCTCAGCTTCAGTGTCTCGCCTTCTTCAGGCAGTTCTCCTGGCTCAGCCGGCTCCACTGACTGGCAAGTCAGCCTCTGAGGTGCACAGCTTTTCAGTTCCAACAGTCTTCTGCAGCTCTTCAGGTTGCAACTCTTCAGGGTTGAGGTTCTTGTCTCATGCCCAGGAAGAATGAGGGACATGGACAGTCAGAAAGTAAGAAAGGACCTGAAGGGGTTGCCCCCACAAGTTTCTTTAAAAGAGACAAACTAAGCCGGGCTCGGTGGCTCAGCCTGTAATCCCGCGCCTTTGGGAGGCTGAGGTGAGTGGATTGACTGAGCCCGCGGGTTCTAGACCCGCCTGGGCAACCTGGTGAGACCTCATCTCTACAATAAATCAAATATCAGCCGAGCGTGGTAGCGCACACCTGTAGTTCCAGCTACTTGGAAGGCTGAGGCGGAAGAATCGCCGGAGCCCAGCAAGTCGAGGCTGCGGTGGCCGGGAGCGGCCACTGCACTCCAGTCTGGATGACAGAGTGAGACTACAACTCAAAAAAATAAACAAATAAATAAATACATAAATAAAAGAGACAACCTGAATGATCTTCAAATGTGAAATTGGGATTGAAAAGTAGATGGCATAGAAGGGGGTTGTCAGAGCCTTTGTACTTGCCTTGCCCCATCCAGTAGTTCTCACACGGTACACAGATTCTCAGTAACATAATTAAAAAGAATAAACATAGCACTGAGGGGGTGGAAAATCCTAAAAAGATTAAAAGCACATTTTAAAACACTTTTTTGATAACTCTCTTTAAAGATACCCACAGGCTGGGAGCAGTGGTGTATGTTTGCAATCTCAGCATATTGGGAGGCTGAGGTGGGAGGATCATTTGAGGCCAGGAGTTTGAGACCAGCCTGGGAACATAGAAAGACCCTGTCCTTGTGGAGTTTTAGCCTCCGGAAAGCCTGAGTTGGGGGAAGGGAATGAGAAAAGAAAGACAAAGAAACAGTGGGATCGGGAGGTCTCTCTCCTTAATAGGTGAGAGCCATTTTATTTTTACAATATGTCCTTTATGTAAGGCCAAACCATATAAACAGAAAATATCTTTTTTTTTTTTTGAGTTGGAGTCTCACTCTGTTGCCCAGACTGGAGTGTAGTGGTACACTCCTGGCCATTGCAGCTCGACCTGCTGGGTTCCCGTGATCCTTCCGCCTCAGCCTTCCAAGTAGCTGCAACTACAGGCGTGCACTACCACATCAGGCTAATTTTTTGATTTATTGTAGAGATGAGGTCTGGCCAAGTTGCCCAGGCGGGTCTCGAACCCGCAGCCTCAGGCAATCTACTCACCTCAGCCTCCCAAAGCGTGGGATTACAGACTGAGCCACCGAGCCCGGCTAACAGAAAATATCTTAATGCTAGCATCAGCAAGAAAAGGGTTAATGTTTGTGACTTTTTTGGCAAGATTACTATAGCACTAACATCTTTGTTTTCTGTGAGTCTAAGTAAAACTACTAACATCTGTGTTTTTTGAGGTTTTAAGCAAAGTTATTGGTTTTGTTTTGTTTTTGTTTTTGAGTTGGAGTCTCACTCTGTCGCCCAGACTGGAGTACAGTGGCCACTCCCGGCCACCGCAGCCTCGACCTGCTGGGCTCTGGCGATCCTTCCACTTCAGTCTTCCAAGTAGCTGGAATTACAGGCATGCGCTACCACACCTGGCTGATTTTTTGATTTATTGTAGAGATGAGGTCTTGCTGCCCAGCCGGGTCTCGAACCCGCGGGCTCAGGCAATCCACTCACCTCAGCCTCCCAAAGGCGTGGGATTACAGGCTGAGTCACCGAGCCCAGCTCACAGTTATTGTTAAAGCAAGCTACATGTAGCCTACGCAGACTAGAGGTCACACTATCTTACTAAATCAACATTTTCAGGAGCAAACATCGAGAGAAGGAAGTACTGGCCAAGCTCTTGTTGGAGCCAGGTCAAGAACACAAGGACCTTGTCAAGTTTGTGTATTTTAAGACCTAAGGACTTTGTCAGCTTGTGCCTTTGTCTCCTTCAGTCCTTAGAAAAATAAAATAAAAATCTTAGCAGAGCATGATGGCATTCCTGTTGTCCCAGCTACTCTAGAGACTGAGGAAGGAGGATTGCTTGAGTACAGGAGTTCAAGGCTGCAGTGAGCTATGACTGTGCCACTGCACCCTAGTCTGGGTGGCAAAGCAAGACCCTGCCTCTAAAAAAAAAAACAACCATAACCTCGAAAAAACAAAAAAGATAACTACACAGACTATAGGCTTCATCTCATTGGTCAAAATGCAGCACACAGCATCTGCTTGAAATGGGGAGGCCCAGGCACCTGTTTCCATCCCGTGTCTAAGGAAGGTAGCAAACACCACCACAGAATTCCTACTCTCGACCAAGATACAGGCTGCTATTTAACCGTCAAAAACTTACTAAGGTGAAACACAGAAATCACTTTTACAAGAAAGAAATGAAGCAACTTACAGAAACCCAAACAATGAAATTAATGAAAATAAAAAATAACTAACCTAAACACAAAAGCATCAGCTGGGCTTGGTGGCTCAGCCTGTAATCCCAGCGCTTTGGGAGGCCGAGGTGAGTGGATTGCCTGAGCCCGCGGGTTCGAGACCCACCTGGGCAACTTGGCGAGACCTCATCTCTACAATAAATTTTTTTAAAAAATGAGCCGGGCATGGTAGCTCGCGCCTGTAGTTCCAGCTACTTGGAAAGCTGAGGCGGAAGGATCGCCGGAACCCAGCAGATCGAGGCTGCAGTGGCCGAGAGCGGCCACTGCACTCCAGTCTGGGTGACAGAGTGATACTCCAACTCAAAAAAAAAAAAGAAAATTAAAAAAAAAGCGTCAGTGGAAAAACAAGACACCCTAAAGCATCTTCTTCTGTTTAATTAATAAGAAGGGAAATCACTGAACTCACATCTTCTCCTTCTGACTGTCCCAGAGGAAGGGAAGACAATCATCAGTGGGTAATGACACTTGGGTCCAGAGAAGGAAGTCCAGTTAAAGGAATGTTTAGGAAGGAGCAGAACCTGACCTGTGACAATAGCTACCAAGACAAAAGATTCTACTTCCAGCACAAGAAATAAGGTACAGGCTCCATTAAAATAACTAGGGTTCAGCCGGGCTCGGTGACTCAGCCTGTAATCCCGTGCCTTTGGAAGGCTAAGTTGAGTGGATTGCTTGAGCCCGCGGGTTCGAGACCCGCCTGGGTAGTGAGACCTCATCTCTACAGTAAATAAAAAAATCAGCCGAGCGTGGTAGTGCATGCCTGTAATTCCGGCTACTTGGAAGGCTGAGGCGGAAGGATCACCGGAGCCCAGCAGGTCGAG